TCCATTTCTAGCTTGCAGTTTTGCACTGAGTGCATGCCTTAATAAATACAATTGTGTTGACTCATGAACTAGACTTCATGTCATTAACCTTTTCCAATAAAATGAGGTAAAACAAGGATATATAAACAACTCAAAACTTAATTGCTTGTATTAGGATGGAAAGTATCTGACAACACATATCAGGGGAAAAACAGAGTTTGAATAGAGAATATTTATGATTAATGATCAGAGAGAATTCCATAACCGGTCCATCCAGTCTCACTCACATCCAAGGCTCACTGCCAGGAGCCCTACCCATCCCTCTACCTCTCACCCTAGCTCCGACTCAAAGGACTGGAGGTTACATACATGTGCACAATGAAACATGGAAGGAAAACTCATGTCAGTTAAACATAAGATTTTTGATGTGAAAGATAGTTATCTGGAGGAAATATGCACCTCTAAGATGTGTTATTATACTTGGGAGAAAGGCAAGAATCTTGTTTTAAAAAGTGAGGAAAATCACATTACCAGTTCCAAACCAATTGCCTCAGATTTCAAGAAGGATTTAAATGAGTACTAGGGACAAATTTATTCTGCCCCAGATTTCAAGAAGGATTTAAGGGGGTACTAGAAACAAATTTATTCTCAGTAGGCTTAATCAAACCTGGGAAGCTGGGAACCACAGCAAAAAAGTATAACCATTATTATGCAGCTACCTACTCAACAAAGTAGGATCCTGATAAACACAAGAATCACCTGAAATTTATTCCTGCTCATTCTTAGGTTACCACCGTTCTCCTTTATGGAGAGTTTCTTCTGCATGAAGTTGGGCAGAGCTACCTATTCCATCTGGGACAGTAAAATGACATTGCAACTATTCAAGTGCTGGCAGGAATGTTAGAGGTTATCTCTAACCTCCTGTTTTTTTTTATTTAAATATTTTATTTTATATAATTCTTACATCTTTTTTCATCTTTGCACAATGTATGCATTTTCATTTTGGTTATATTCCCCATACAATTGCACCTCCCCCCTTATTTTGACTCTAGTCCTTCCTTTCCCCGCCCCGTAGCGTGTCTCTGGTTTATAGTTGCTAGTTGATTTTGATTTTTACTTTGCATTGATTAGTCTTTTTCCTGGTCTCTTATTTAAGTTTTCTAAATTCCTGCTATGAGTGAGACCATCTGGTATTTCTCTTTTTCTTTCTGGCTTATTTCGCTGAGCATGATTCCTTCCAGTACCATCCATTCAGTTGCTGCAAATTGCATGTGTTTATCTTTTTTGATTGCTGAGTAATATTCCACGGTGTATATGTACCACATGTTCTTGATCCAGTCATCTACTTTTGGGTATTTGGGTTGCTTCCATAGCTTAGCTATTGTAATTAGTGCTGCTATAAACATAGGGGTCCAGGTGCCCTTTGGAATTAATGTTTCTGTGTCCTTTGGGTAAATACCTAGGAGTGGAATTGCTGGATCATATGGAAGCTCTATGTTCAGTAGTTCAAGAAATCTCCACACAGCTCTCCATAGTGGTTGGACCAGTTTGCACTCCCACCAGCAGTGTAGGAGAATTCCTTTTTCTCCAGAACCTCGCCAACATTTGTTGTTGCTAGTTTTTTTAATATGTGCCATTCTCACTGGTGTGAGATGGTATCTCATTGTAGTTTTGACTTGCATTTCCCTGATTACAAGTGATGTTGAACATTTTTTCATATACCATTTGCATTTCCTCTTTGGAGAAGTTTCTTTTTAGCTCTTCTGCCCATTTCTTTTTTTTTTTTAATAATAAATTTTATTTTTAGATTCCCCCATATAATTGCAACCCCCCCATTCTGACCCCCATCCCTCCCCTCCCACCCCCCACCCCCCAAAAAGTGTCTCTGGTTCATAGTTTTTTGTTGATTTTGATTTTCACTTTCTTATAGTTACTCATTTTCCTGGTCCCTTATTTAAGTTTTCTAGATTCCTGCTATGAGTGAGACCATCCGGTATTTTTCTTTTTCTTTCTGGCTTATTTTGCTGAGCATGATCCCTTCCAGCGCCATCCATGTTGCTGCAAATGGCATGTGTTTATCTTTTTTGAATGCTGAGTAATATTCCATGGTATATATGGACCACATCTTCTTGATCCAGTCATCTATTTTTGGGCATTTGGGCTGTTTCCAAAGCTTAGCTATTGTAAATAGTGCTGCTATAAACATAGGGGTGCAGGTGCTCTTTGGAATTGATGTTTCTGTGTCCTTTGGGTAAATGCCTAGGAGTGGAATTGCTGGATCATATGGAAGCTCTATGTTTAGTAGGTCAAGAAATCTCCACACAGCTCTCCATAGTGGTTGGACCAGTTTGCACTCCCACCAACAGTGCAGAAGAGTTCCTTTTTCTCCACACCCTCGCCAACATTTGTTGTTGCTAGTTTTTTTAATATGTGCCATTCTCACTGGTGTAAGATGGTATCTCATGGTAGTTTTGATTTGCATTTCCCTGATTACAAGTGATGTTGAACATTTTTTCATATGCCTGTTGGCCATTTGCATTTCCTCTTCAGAGAAGTTTCTTTTTAGCTCTTCTGCCCATTTTTTGACTGGGTTATTTTCTTTGTTGTTGTTGAGTCTCATCAGCTCTTTGCAGATTTTTGTGATCAGTCCTTTATCATTAGTGTTGTGTGCAAAAATGTTCTCCCAGTTGGTTGGGTTTCTCTTTGTTTTTGTTATTGTCCCTTTTGCTGTGCAGAAGCTCTTTAATTTGATGTAGTCCCAGCTGTTGATCTTTGCCTTCACTATCACTGCTTTGGGTGATGTGTCTGTAAAGATGTCTTTGTTGTGCAAATCACGTAGTGTTTCGCCTATATTTCCTTCTATGCATTTTATGGTTTCAGGTCTTCTGTCTAGCTTTTTAATCCATTTTGGGTTGATTTTTGTGTATGGTGTGAGGTAGTGGTCAAGCTTAATTCTTTTGCATGTAGCGACCCAGTTTTCCCAGCACCATTTATTGAACAAACTTTCTTTGCTCCAATGCATAGTCTTTGCTCCTTTGTCAAAGATTAGTTGACCATAAATCTCTGGGTTTATTTCTGGATTTTCTATTCGATTCCATTGGTCTGTATGTTTGTTCTTGTTCCAATACCATGCAGTTTTGATGATTATGGCTTTGTAGTATAGTTTGAAGTCTGGGAGTGTGATGCCTCCATTTCCTTCTTTTTTTTTTCAGGAGAGCTTTGGCTATTCGGGGCAAACTATCACTATTTGCAGATGACATGATAATATACATAGAGAACCCCAAAAACTCCACAGAAAAACTAATTCAACTCATCAATCAGTTCAGTAAAGTGGCAGGATACAAAATCAACACGCAAAAGTCAGTAGCCTTCCTATACACAAACAATAAATCTGAAGAAGAAGAAATCAAAAAAAAAAATCCCTTTTATTATCGAAACAAAAAAAATCAAATATTTGGGAATAAATCTAACAAAAGAGGTAAAAGACCTATACAAAGAAAACTATAAAACACTGTTAAAAGAAATAGAAGAAGACACAAAGAAATGGAAAGACATCCCCTGCTCATGGATTGGAAGAATAAACATTATTAAAATGGCCATCCTACCAAAAGCAATATACAGATTCAATGCTATTCCAATCAAAATTTCAATGTCATTCTTCAAAGAAATAGAACAATTATTGATGAAATTCATATGGAATCACAAAAAACCCCAAATTGCCCATTTCTTGACTGGATTATTTTCTTTGTTTTTGTTGAGTCTCATCAGCTCTTTGTAGATTTTTGTGATCAGTCCTTTATTGTTAGTGTTTTGTGCAAAAATGTTCTCCCAGTTGGTGGGGTTTCTCTTTGTTTTGGTTATTGTCACTTTTGCTGTGCAAAAGCTCTTTAATTTGATGTAGTCCCAGCTGTTTATCTTTGCCTTCACTATCACTGCTTTGGGTGATGTGTCTGTAAATATGTCTTTGAGGTGCATGTCATGTAGTGTTTCACCTATATTTTCTTCTATATAGTTTATGGTTTCAGGTCTTATGTCTAGTTCTTTAATCCATTTTGAGTTGGTTTTTGTGCATGGTGTGAGGTAGTGGTCAAGCTTCATTCTTTTGCATGTAGTGACCCAGTTTTCCCAGCACCATTTATTGAACAAACTTTCTTTGCTCCAGTGCATATTCTTTGCTCCTTTGTCAAATATTAGTTCACCATAAATCTGTGGGTTTATTTCTGGATTTTCTATTCGATTCCATTGGTCTGTGTGTCTGTTCTTGTTCCAATACCATGCAGTTTTGATTATTATGGCTTTGTAGTATAGTTTGAAGACTGTGAGTGTGATGCCTCCATTCCCTTCTTTATTTTTCAGAAGAGCTTTGGCTATTCGGGGTCTAACCTCCTGTTTTTCATACTTCAACTCTTAGAGAAGATTCCTTTGTGAGGGGAACATGCCTGTTGAAGTGGTCTTTATAATGCTATATCTTAGCAATTCACACTTTGTGGCCTCATCACCCAATTGATATATGGTTTGAATATGCAGAAGAACTGGCAAGAGAATTTTCCCAGAAATTCAACCTGTGATTACCAACCAGTGAAGTACTCATAAGAGGGCTTATAAGAATGACCGTGACCTCAAAGTTCTATCTGGGGGTGACCCCCAGGCCTGAATAAGTTAGGTCACAATGAGATTGCTCAAATAGATGTTGGCTCTTCTATATTTGAGAATGAAATAATAATCATTTGATGAGTTAAGAAAAGAAGTAAAGGAGCAAACTGGTATATGATCTCTTAGGGAGTTATTTTCTCATATAGATTATTCTGCTTTTTTTCTTGCTATGTATTTATTTTTTAATTAACTATTAATGGGATACTTTTTCACCTACCTTTTTTGTTTGTCCCAAACCAAAAGTATATTTCATTGGGAGACATCTATTTAGTTGTAGCAGAGGGAAACTGAGAATTCTCTCTTATTCCTGTCTTCCCCACAGGAGCGGTGATTTATCTTTCTTCATTTATTTTGTCTTTAAATAACAGCAATCATTAAGTGCTCTGATTTCAAAAGAATTAGCCCCGTTCTGGCAGAGGACAGCACATATTTGGAGATCTCCTCTACGTCATCAAATATTTCCTGCTAATTTGGATTCTATTGAATTGGATGAAAACAAGTTCACAGGGCTTGAGAATTTGGCCAAGAGACCATAAACAAAGGGAAACACCAAGTGGAATTCGTGCTTTCAGACTTGGGGACACCAGCTTACATGGCGCCAGTGGGGTGAGGGGTCACATTCATTTAATGGAATCACTCATATTCCGGAGGAGGCTGCCGGTGTCGCTAACTAATTTCATTATAACGCTGAGTTGTGCCACCACCCACGAATGCCAAGGGAACATGCAAAGAGGGCAGGAAAGCACCAAGTGCCAAAAGGTGCTAGAAGAAGTTTGGGCCTCAGTTCGGTTCCTTTCCAGGAACAAATCGCCACAATGGGGGACAGAATGCTGTAGGAGCGCCAACAGAGAACAAAGCCACCAGGCAGCCACTTTCAATGACATTAAAAAGAGTTAAGTGGTCTAAGGTTAATGGTATTATTATCCCAAACAGAGAGAGTTGGGGTGCTTCCTGGCTAACCACTATATGCAACAATTTTTGTTATAACTCTGATATGGCACCAAAGGACAGAGTTTTGTGCATAATACATTAAAAATAGGAAATCAAATAATATAGAATATCACTGTCACCCAATTCTTTTTTTTTTCCTCTTTTTTTTTTTTTTTTTTTTTTTTTATAGAGGCATGCTTTATTTATTTATTTATTTGTTTGTTTTGTTTTTTGTTTATACATGCACTGGGTACAGTCAGAAGCGCGGGAGGGTGAGAGAATTCACCAGAGCCAGAGTGGGGAGCAGAGCAGGCAGACTGACGAAGTACACTGCTGAGGGGAGCAATGGGTGGCAGGAGAGGTCTGCGCACCATGTGGGACCCTCACTGGGGCCGGGGATTGAACCAGAGCTGCAGAGGCTGCGGGCAGCTTCGCAGCCCAGCGCTCAACCGCTGCACCACCAGGGAGGCCCTATCACCCAATTCTTAAGAGTAGTTACCGTAGCACTCCCACCACAATGGAATACTAATCAATTCACATTTTTGAAGGTACTTTCACAAACATTATTTAGTTCCCATTAACAAAATTCCCACTTTGCACGAACCATCTTACATAATGGATAGCTTGATCGCCTTTTTTTGGAGAAGGACACGGGGTGGATTTTGGAAGGATATTAAGTTGCCTTTCAAAATCTCACATGGTTGAAAGTTACTCTATGATATTTAATGCAAAAACTTAAATTTCTAAAAAAAAATGAAGGGAGGGAGTAAGAAAAACTATCACAGGTAGTTCATATACTTCACTCTGCTCACCTATAGCATCAGAACTACAGAGTAAAAAAATGTGTTCATTCCCAAGTCAAGGACACTGCTCAGTATAAATGGTACATTGTGGTAGAAGAGAGATTATTTGCACTATATTTTTTCTCTCTGTAAGAAAATGTTTGAGGTGGTCCGAGAGGCCAAGCACATATTCTGTGGATCCAAACCTGTCAGGTCCTGTACTTGTCATTTTTAAACTTTTCTTCAGGGGGTGTAATGTGGGTCTGAGATGCACTATTTCTTTTCTCACATATGAAATCCCAGGTTTTGTACAAGCTGACTTTTTGTTTTTTTGCCTGTGTTGGTATAATGAGCGCCAGTATGCTTTCAACACAGCAGCTTGTTTTCCTTGTGATGCTCTGGAGAAAAGTTGCCGTGGAAGCCGCCTGTGGTCTTGGTCAGTCAGGACTGTACAAAGTGGTGCATTGTTTGAGCATGCGGATAAATCCAAACTCAGGACTTGCCCTGTCAGCTCACAGAGCTCAGAAATGTGGTCAGCATCACAGCCTGGTGCCTTCCTATTAGCTGAAATGAGTTTCCATGGCAAAAGAGTTGTGTCACGACCTGTCATGGTGCTTGCATCTGGACATATGTAAAACACATTGAAATGTTTTGTATTTTTAAAAGGAATTATCCACTGGTTATTGAAGTATAGAAAATCAATACATCTGATCATAACCATTGTGACGTGTGTTCTTAATTGAATATAACTCTGCATTCAAGAAGATGGATCTTTAACTGCCAAATATGTAAGGTTAGAGGGGATTTTGGCAAGGCTATTTTTCTCAATGTATTTTATGTTGATATCAGATTAAGGTGTTATTGGCCACGGAAGAACATCACTCGGGAGGTAGAATCCCACTACTCTGTTAGTATAGAGACGTCAAATTCTAGAGAAGATGCTCCCTCTGCAGCTCTTTGGTGGTAGGAGGCGAGGGGATTGTTCCAGATCTTTGTCTAGAATCCCCTCACTCTCTGCTGCAACCATACTACACTAGTGGGGGACAGGGGAACTCTAGGACCTTACTTTCCTGGAACCCACCTTGGGAACAAACACTTGTCCTTTCTACATGTGGGCTTTTATACCAGAGGCTGTGGGGAAAGAGTAGTGTGAAGGCCCCTTTTCCTAGGAATCTAATTATGTACAAGCATTGCTTCTTCTTCTTTTTTTTTTTTTTACTTCCTTTCTGCTCTGATAAACATTTATCAAGCTAGAGCAGGTAATAAAGCTTTTATATTACCATGAATATTTTTATAAATCTTATATTTTTATTTATATATATTTTACATCACTGTTCATTTTTAAACAATGTTTGCTTTAAATCTTTTCAATTTGCATTCTATGTTAGGATGTCAAAGTCTATTTTGAAACACAAAAGCTGAAAGTTGACTTTTTCGTCCTTGTTACACTTTTGAGACCTTACTGCCATAGCTGATAACTAAAACATGGGTGAAAATGATGTGATGAAAAGGAAATACAGAGGAAGGATAATGCATAGGAAATAGTCTAAGTTGACCCTGTTCAATATACAGCACATTCATGCACTTCTAGAACATAGAGCATCGAAACACATGTTGTAGAACTAATTATACATGGTATCACTTCTGCCAATATAGTCTGATTTCACGTGATTATGTGCTTGACACTTAAGACAGACTTTAGATTTTATCTAGTCCACACATTTTTCGCAGCAAACAGAAAATGGAAGAATATAGAGGGTAACCAACTTGCACATGGTCACACACATATTTAAACAGAGTCTACAGTAGAAACCAGCTCTCTACATGTCAATTAGTGGGAACTTTCATAAAATGATGACATGAGGTCTTCCAGGACATCATGACCTCCCTTCAAGGCTTCCTCTAAGAGGAACTCTAAGTTGCATGCAAACTGAGCTAAGACAATGGTGTGTGAGATAAGGTTCTCCATGTCCAGAGGATGGCTTTGGGGAAAAAAAGTGCTTATGAAAGAAAAAGCCATTGGTTGAGATCAGCTGGAAGATGCTATAAAAGAACCTTCCAGTTAAATCTATAGGACGTTGTGGCTTTGGGCTGTTTTGAGAATCTAGTAAAAGCTATGGATCCCTCCCAAACAAAAGGATATTTACGCTAAATTTTACAAATGCATTCAGGTATTTTTCAGATCCCCTAAAACCCAACCTCTGAATTGAGTTTAAGAAACTCCTGTAGAGACAAGACCCTTCTTTAAGGTAGCAGGTAATGTCTGGGAAAAAGACTGGAAAGGTCTCTTTCCCCAGAGAACTACCCTGGGAGTCGCAGAAGCAGGAATAGAAAAGGCCTGGCTCACCGGTCAACTCAGAAGAGTGGGAGTTTCAACTTTTAGATTTTAAATATTTTAGGAGTGTGAGTGTGATAGGAAACTGTGCTCACCTCTCAGTCAAAGTCATTCTTGGTGGGGGTGGAGGCTATAATCAGCCTGATGAGAGCAAGACTAATGGGGGTTGAAATAGAGCAATGACTGTGTAATTGAACAAAGACAATTTTGTTGGCTCCTGGGTTCTATTTGAGTTAATAAGTCAATTGGGAGTGTATACTTTTGGGAGAAGAAAGCTGTAACTCTCTTAACTTGGCAGAAAAGAAGGAAAACTGCTGATATCCAAATTCTCTGGTCCTTGGAGACTTCATCCAGTAACAGCAACAACAATAAAAACAATTAATTAAGAAGCAGGATTTTGGAGTTTCTCATTAATTAAAATCTGAGTGCTTTAGCAAAGGGGAAAGGAGACTGGGTGGGGATTGGGGTCCTAAGGTTGGGGATAGTCTCCCCTCACTATGTAATCAATCAGTATTTATGCAGCACCTTTGACACAGCAAACATTGAATGCTATGTTGGGAATAAATGAAAAAATGATGGGCATGGTCCCTGACTTTATGAAATATAAATTCTAGTAAGAGATGATGACAATTGAATTGACCATTAGTGTGATAAAGGGGTAGACAGGGGAACCCGTAGGGTAGTGTTCCTAACCTCTCAAGATGGCAGTAAATGGAGTCTTGAAGAGTGGGTTGAGGTTAAACAGGAGCAGAGGAAGAACCGGAGTGTTTCAAGTGGAAAAGAGTGCCCAGGTGACAGTGCATGTGCTTTGGGGAACTTGGGTTTAGGAGGTGGTGAGAAAGGGAACCATAAGGGATGAGACACTTACTACAGGAAGGTCCTGGACCACAAGATTTGCCTTTGTTGGATAATTAAAGGACTGGAACTTAAATGTGTGAACAAGAAAGCACTGAAGGGTTTCATGGGGAAGTATGCCCCGATTCCTGGGGTGGCAGCACCAGGTGCCTCAGCTTAATATGCTATTTGCCAATTTCTCATGCCATTCAGACTCTTAGGGATGGAAAAAAAAACAAAAAAACAAACAGGTTGTCTTGCCCCATGCACTTATTCATGCCATACACAGGTATTTGTACCTTGTTGCTTTGAATGCAGACTTCAGAAATGACCCTTGCATAGATTTGTTTCCTATCCTTTACTTGTGTGTTCCAGGGTTATTTGCTGATGCATCTGAAATGGTATTGCTTCTGGGCAGTACTTCAGAGACAATGCTTATGTCCCATCCCATGGAGGACTGAGAGGTATAGGAGATCTAATTGTGATTTTCTTCTCTTGTCCTTAGTCATTAATCAAGAGGCTCTGAACAAACGTGGTAGAAACTTTTCTTGGTCCTCTCTATTTGGAGTCACTTATCAGGGTCCCACTGCTCTGTATTTGGAGCTTAACAGGGTGTACTCCTACTTTGCAATGGAGAGGACTCTGTTTTAACATGTAGGTTCTGTTTGCAGGAGACTCATTATATCTCATATTCTGCTTATAGGTCAAGCTGCACCCTCAAATTCAGATACCCCAGTAATAAAGTTTATATCTTAGTTTCCATCTTTCTGATTCCTGTATTCATCTCTCATTTGTTTCCAAAATCAAGAGGGAAAGAAAGAATGTTATCACTTAACTTCTAAAAATTTTCAAAGTGATAGAATCACTGACTTTTCCTTATTTGGATTGCTGTTTTCTTGTCTTGTTTTCACTAAAGTCTGGGTGTGGTAAAAGGCTCGTCTTTATTGATCCAATTAGAGGGAGGAATCTAGAGGGAGGATGTTTGAAACCCCTTACCTGTCCGTACTCAGT